TGATGACTTGGCTTTTTCCACTAGAATTTCACAACATACTTCCTTTGAACTGGGTTTTCTTTTTGTCCTAATACGCACTGTAAACGCCCTTACCAGAAGCAAAAGGAATTTGATTTCTGATGAACAGACTTGCTTCTGAGCAAGCAAACACATACACACCTAATATTTAAAGGTGCAAGGGCAATTGATAGCAAAGCACTGGATTAACCTTCTTTGACCTGAAAATGATCATCAGGTAGTGTTACTCATCTGGATCAAGTTGCACACCTACTCACGACCTTCACTGCATTGTGGTATGAGATAATAAAAAAAAAATCTGACTGATGTCAGAGGGGAAGCCAAATTCAATTCTTGTAAAATGCCTGGTGTTCAGAGGCCATTACATGTGTCCTGTTCAAGATGCATTTTACACTCTTCACTCTGACACTTGTGGTCTGCAGGTGGCTTGTTGCAGTGAATAACAAATGGCTTTAGATTGGTTGGGTTTTTTTTTTTTTTTTTTTGCTTTTATTATTTGGGTAATTTCACAGTCTTGTTTTTCATACCTTTATATTCTATTCATTTCATACCTGTACTTATTTTCTTACTGTTTAACTAAGTTGCTTATATTGTTAACACTTGCTTATTTTTCATGATGTTAGAGCCAGTAGACAGAGAATAATTTATTTTTTTTTCCCACTAAAGTAATGATTTTTGCTTTTAACACTCATAGACTCATAGTCATAGTCTGGGGAAGAGGCGGCTGAGGGGAGACCTTATTACTCTCTTCCAGTACCTGAAAGGTGCTTACAGTGAGAGCGGGGTAGGTCTCTTCTCACTGGTGACAGGTGACAAGACGAGGGGAAATGTGCCAATTTGTGCCAAGGTAAGTTTAGGTTGGATGTTAGGAAACACTTCTTTACAGAAAGGGTGGCTAAACATTGGAATAGGCTCCCTGGGAGGTGGTTGAGTCACCGTCCCTGGATGTGTTTAAGAGCCGTTTGGATGTGGTGCTCGGAGATATGATTTAGCAGAGGGTTGTTAGAGTTAGGGTACTGTGGTTGGGCTGCGGTTGGACTTGATGATCCTTGAGGTTCTTTCCAACCTGAGTAATTCTACGATTCTATGATAGAATCATCTGAGTTGGAAGAGAAGTTTAAAGATCATCTAGCCCAACACCCCTGCAATGAGCAGGGACATCTACAGCTAGATCAGGGGCTCAGAGTCCAATCCAGGCTGATCTTGAATGCCTCCAGAGACAGGCAGCCAACAGACCTCTAAGCAAGTTCTTCTAGTGCTTCATCAACCTTATTGTAATAAATTTCTTTCTTGTATCCAATTTAATTCTCCCCTCTTTCATTTTGAAATCTTTTCCCCTTCTCTTGTCACAACAGACTTCATTTGATAATGGCCTCATCAATCAACACCAATCAGCCCTATGTTTTTATTTTTATCATTATCCCAAGTAGTAGTAAGCATTTTTCAATAAGCTCAGTATCTTTAATTGGGATCTTGGGAAATCCCTTTACCTTATTTTTGTTTTATTTTGCTTGTCTGGATTTTGTATGCAATTGTTGGAGAAGAGAATGTATTTACCTAAGTAAAATGAAGGGCTCAGTTCTGTTTTCTTATCAGGATAAATCTGAAGCAACATACATACACATTGGCACTCAGGGGTTCTCAGGACAGTCTACAAAATGCTGGTGACCATGGAGGTCAAGTGTTGTCATTACACTTATGAATCCTGAAGTGAGAGAACTCCAGACTCAAAATTTGATGTGGTTAAAGTTAGGCACCCTGCAGCCCCCAGAAGCAGTGCAGGAAGAGGGCAGGAGGTGCTCCAGGCACAGAGAGGCCCACAGAGGAGCAAGATGTCCCCCTGCATCCCATGGGCACCACATGGAGCAGATCTCCACACACAGCCATGGAAGAGCCCACTGTGCAGCAGTGGATGAGGCTGGAGAAGGCTCAGCTCATGATACCCCCACAGGAGCAGCCCTGGGCCAGAGCTGCAGCAGCTGGAGAAGAGCCCATGGTGGGTCAGGTGGGCTGGAGGAGCTGCCACCCATGGGACTGTGCTGAAGCAGAGCCTGAAGGGTAGGGTCCATGGGATGGAGTCATGATGGAGCAGTGCTGAGAGAGCTGCATGTGGAAGGATGGCTGTGGGAGGGAGCCATGTGGAGCAGGGTGACCATGGAGGAGCCTCAGAGAGGACATGTTATGGACAGAGAGCAGTCTCCATTGCCCATAACCCTGTGCCATCCAGGATGATAATTGATGAGCAATCTCCCTGTCCTTGTCTCAAGCCACATGAGTTTTCTACATTTTTTATCACGTTTTCTCAACTTGTCCTTCTGAGGAGGAAAAGTGAGAGAGCAGAGACATCCATCAACTGTTAAACCACCACAGTCACTGAATTTCCTTTTCAGAATTTTGATGTATCTAGACCACAACCACAACTATAAAACTGAGTAATGTGATGACTAAGGGTTTTCTGTGTGTGAAAATCCTGCACAATTTTAATGAGAAGACTCATTGATTGCTGTGGAATAGTGTCCTTAATCTGATGAATTCCAGAAATAAATTAACATTTTCTGCCCTGCAGCAATAAGAAAGAATTAAAGCTATTATAAACCATTTTTTGTTCTTTTACTATAGCCATCATGGCCTACCAATGAATATGACAATAAAGCTGAAGGAAAAATAATTAGAACAATATATTTGGAAGATTAGTTTTTTCTCCATCCTTGATTTACAGTTCAGCAGATTGTGGTTCTTTTGCATTTCTTTGTGTGTTTGAAATTCCTTGAGTTTAGGAACCTACTTAATTTGTAGCTCATTTAAGATTTCCTTGTGAGAAAAGTTCCTGTGATGAGTGCTGTTTCAAATGTGCTATTTAAGGTCTGTGACTGAGTTGTCTCATACCCACAACTGAAAGACTTCATGTTTAAAATGACATCTTTCTGGACCCCTAATTTTTTATTTTATTTTATTTTATTTTTTAATGGTGAATTGTACTTTATCCTGCGATAAATTTTTTGCAGGGATGAATTTTATTTTAGTCCCTATAAAAGACTCTGTAGGCACCCATGTTTCACACTGACTGATCTTTCATATAATCCAGAAATTAGATTTTCCCAGTGCTTGTAGGAAATAAGTAAAAAAAGGAGGATACACCGAAAAATCTAGTTGAAATGTCACTGCTGATCCAGCACACTGATAGAAAACAGATTTTTATGAACTTATATCTGGTCATATCTACTGTACTGACATCTCAGGAAAGAGATCTACATTATTGTGGAGAAATCAATGAAGTTCACTGCTCAATATGCAGTACCTGTCAATAAAGCAAATACAATCTGTGTTGGGCTGTGTTGGAAGGTTAGCAGAAAAAGATGCCAGAAGAAGGTCAATTGAATGTTAAAGGCATACAGTGAGATTTTGAGATTTCTAGATTCAATTTCCACCTCAGCTGCAAAATTCCTCTGCAATAATGTACAAATCAAAAGGTTTATAAACCTTAAAGGGGACTTAGGTGGGATTTCTTTCTTGTGTAAAGCTAAAAACTTTAATCCCCAAAAGCCATTTCTTGGTCTCACAGGTGTGTGGAAATCTGACATTTTTAGGAGGGAATGTCCCTTGGGGCTTAGAGGTGTGGTTGCACTGATGCCCAGCATGGGACCATTCCAGGGTGCCCACTGAGGGGTCCTGTTCTCTATGAAAGATATTCAATTCCAAGATCATTTTCCAGTGAGAGCAAATCTGTTGGAAATCTGAAGAAAAGCCTGACATCTGTCTTTTATGTGTAACTTGGCGAAAGAGAGAGATTCAGATTAATGCCTTACTGTGTCTGAAGAGCTTCAGTGCTACATCTCCCACTCACCATCAGGACAGCTGACCATTAGGTCTCCTCTTTCACTTCCTTCTTTTTCAAACTGTTTGAAACCATTTCAAAAATTCAAATAATGAGAAAGTGAGCAAGGACTATGACATAGCTTTCCTTTCACAGACTTGTTGGTTTACAGTCACTGCCATCATCTTAGGGTATGGGAAAGGCATGAGAGTATTCGTGTATCTGAACATGCTTGGAAAAAATTGATGTTACATATGTAGTGACATTCACTTTGGTGAACATGGAGTCACAGTGTCTGCTTTTAAGGCTTGCACCAATTTTCTCCATGCTGTAGGACAGCAACGCAGGATACCTCAAATTGGTATCAGCCCTGCAAAGAGTATCTTAAACTTCAATTGTAGTTCATGGATTTCATGCAAATAAAGGATGAAGGATGTTTCAACCAAAACTAAAATGTTTATGCCCCTCAAGAAAACAATGCAATGGAGCATCGTCTTAGTACTGAAAGGAATCTCATGAGATAAAGAATAATTAGCAAAAGAAAAACAAAAATCCTTCAATAAGCATCACATCTTTCTAGAAGAAAAAAAAGTTGCTGTTTTGCAAAAATGACAAAATGTTGTGGCAGTTTTTGCTAAAATCAGTATAATTTCATGAAAAATATCAGCTTTGTCAAAATGGCATTTCCTAAAGTGACTCACATCTGAAAGAAATCCAAATGAAATCTTTCAAACCAGATAGACTTCTATCTGAAATAATAAAAGAATCTTCATCATTATCATCTGCACTTCAGATAATTTTTTAGTAAATAGACTCTCTGATTCTGAGATCAGAAAGTATGATTAACCATGTTTCATAAAATAAGCACTGAATATTGGAAGACAACGTTTTTGAAAATAGTTAGATGCCTAGAAGAACAGAGCAGCACCAAGTTTTTCAAATATTGAGAGTAGTTAAGTGCTGTGGTACAATCCATTTGTTTCTTTAGAGAGCTGAGTACTTTTAAAATTGTAGCTGTTGTCATTCTGGAAAGAGCAAGGGTTACAATTCCAACCTCTTTTATTTCAATTGCTATTCCACTGGACCAGGTTGTATCAGCTCAACATGAGCTGTTCAGCACACCTTCAGTCACACTGGTTTATGCAGCAACAGAAATACTTTCACTTACTTGTGCAAGTCTTGTTGTATTTAGGATTCTCTTGAGGAAACCCTTCCAGACGGCACTGGAACCTGTGCTGCCAAAATTCCTGAAACCATGGATTTCGGTGATTGGTTTCTGGCCGAAGCTCCAAGTAGTAATCATCAAACCATTTAACATCAGGAGACTGGAGCTTGATTGTTATTCCACCAACAGCTTCACGCTGATACCCGTCTGTCACATCGTACCTGTCTGCCCAGCCATCACTGCAGGGGTAAACATAGACAGCATTGACTATTCAATGGAGTAAGAAAAGGGCTTTCTCAAAAACAAAATTAAGATCCTGAGAGCACATGCTCACACCTGTGACTCGGACTGCAGCTTAGTAATGCACCTGCAGTGAATCAAAGAATCATTTCAGGAAAGGATTTTTAAAGGCTATCTAGTCCAACTACCCTGCAATGAACAGGGATGCTTACAGCTCCATCAGGTGCTCAGAGCTCTGTCCAGTCTGACCTTGAGTGTCTCCAAGGATGGGGCATCCACCACCTCTCTGGGCACTCTGTGCCAGTGCCTCACCACCCTTGTTGTAAAAAACATTTTCCTGTTATTCAGTTTAAATGTCCCCTCTTTTAGTTGGAAACCATTTCCCCTTGTTCTATCACAACAGGCCCTGCTTAAGAGTCTTTCTCTTTCTTTCTTATAGTCCCCTTTAGACACTGAAAGGAATAACATTCCTACTAAGATTCAGCTTTTCCTTTTCCTTATGTTTGCTTGTAACTGGCACCTTCTACTGAGATTTTATACATCCTTCACATAATTCAAACAACATTACAAATCACATGTCCCAAAATCTGTTGTGTATAGACACAGCTCTGCACCACATAAAAGTTCACGTGAGCTCTGGGAAGAAAAATGTTGGATTTGGTGTTTTACTGACACTCGGATGATGCTTCTCCTACCCGAAAGGGGACAGCCTTGAGGATAGGATTTCTGACAGTGCTGGCAGGCTGTGAAAGGCAACCCTGTGTTGCACACCATGCCTCTAATGTGCAGTGGGGCACGGCACAAAGAGCTAGAAGCAAATTTTGAATGAGTTGACACTGCTCAAGCAGAAAGACCAGCTCATAGCTCAGCTGCTGTGATCGCATGGCATTGCATCTGAAGCAATAAATCCTCTCTGAAGACATGACTAATGAAGTTGGGCAGAGCACTAAGCAGATGTCATGCATTGCTTCTATTTCTTGGTCGATGGTGGCTGGAGTATTACAGACTTGCAAGGCACTCAGAATTTTAATCCCGTTTGGTTAACCTCTCAGAGCTTGCAACACACTGACCACAAGTAGCTAGCAGAAGTGACTGAAGGCACAGATAAAACAAAATGTCACAAACTTCTCAGGGTAATTCCCCTCTCTCTGGTTTCATAATGGACTTCCCTGGCAGTATTGAATTTATGAAGTTTCACTCGACTCTACTAAAAATATGCATATCTCATCAGTGTTTGAAATTCCTACTCCTTTATCATGAGCATGATATTTCAGTTTTTCAAAAGCCACAGGTCTTACAGAATTACAGAGTATTCCCAGACTCTGTTTTTCCTCTAGAAAGTCACTGATGTTAATGATTGTAGAGAGCACCTTTAAATCCTAAAGGTCAAATAACTGGAGGATAAAAACATCTTAATTTATCTTACTTTAAAACTTCATGAGTTGTTCAAAGCTAGCTCTCACTATTTTAAGCTAGTCATAGAGTAACCGATGTAGGTGACTTTTAGCTGTATGGTTCTGTTGTTCTATTTTGATCATCTGCTTTCTGGTTTAAACTTTGCTTCTGCATTCAAGAGCAAGCAGGAAATCTGCTGCAGTCACCTGGCTCCCAGCGCATCCCCTGTTCTCTACACAGGGACTGAGCTGTCATTACATATTGCAGAAGTCACGACCTCACACAGTGACAATTTCTGCACAAGACACTTTTACCATGAAGCCCGGACCCTTGACTACATCTTACAAGTGCAGCTGCAATGTCAATAAATAGCTCTTTCACCAGTAGCAAAAATAACATCCAGTGTCTGAGAGGAAAATGAAGAGACTGTTAAATATGCTGCAGATTTCAAATACGCTGATTTCTTCAGAAAAAAGAGTACGCATTCATGAAAGGACAAAGTTGAACACTAATTTTGAGCCTGAATACAACATCTGAAAAATTTACCTTTAAGCTTAGATCCTATTAGGAATGAACATAGGAGGTAATGATGCCAAATGAATTCAAGAAGCTCACTATGGGCAAATACTCCCCATCTGCCTTCAGAACATGTGTAGTCAAAGATTTACTGCCATTTGTGAATTATTTTGTGATAAAATCTGCAGGCTTTTTACATTTATGAATGATTTTACTTTTGCTTTGAAGCATTCATCTTAACCTTTGGCAATATTTTAAGCAATATTATCCGACCTCACAAAATCCAGCAGGTTTTATGAATGCAAAAAGTGAACAATTTTCTGATGGTTTACAAAATTATAGTAATACTGAATAGAATTTAACAGACATAGAGCTGTGCTGTCAGTATCAGAACTTTATGAGTTGTCTCATAAAAAGCTTAAAAAGAAACTTGTTTCCTGTAATTAATTTCTTTACCATTTTTCAGATGGATAGCTTTGTAGACCTAATCCAACAGAGTGCTATAAAATTTATAGTCTTACTTTATGAATAGTTATCTCCTCTAAGAAGATTTATAGCAGAGATATAATTCCAAAACTTTAAGTTACTAAAAACAGAGAAATAAAAGCTTCAAATTGCATAACTCTTTTCAACTTCTCCACAGAAAGACTTAAATCAGCAGAACGGCTTTTCATTCAAATAAACATTTCAGCTTAGCTTCTTGGGCAAAAGGTTCTTTGGAGGTTTATATAAAAGATGTATTCAAAGTGTATATTGTAGAGACATCAATGCCTTAGATAGACCAGGCGGCAAAGCAAATCTAGGCTAGTGCCTAAAAAGACAGTGAAAGTGAAGCTGGAAAACAGGTTTGCATGGAAATGCAAAAACTCCAGAAGTGTGATATTTTGATTCTGCACCCATAGAAGAGTAACAACACTTATGGGATGTTGAAGACAGGATGAGATAGCTGTATCTGTGAGATCAGACCCATGCCATCCTCTAAACTTAGCAGCAGTTGTGAAGGTGAGGGAGGAGGGGGCAGGGAGGTACCTGCTTACTTTTACACAGACCTCCCAGTCCCTCTTTAAACCTTTTTTCTTCTAATGACTTAATTTTACTGTAGTAGCCAAGGATATTGTACCCCGTTGTTTGCTGTGTCACAGAAGTTTCAAACTGCTGTTACTTATCACTAAAGTCTGCTGGTTCAGTAGAAGTAAGGTGCTCTGGCACCCAAAATTGGCAGATAGGATGAGTCTAACTGATGTCTTTTTTTTTTTCCCGTGCTTAGGCACATTGCTTTCCAGTCCTCTTCTGATGTACTGAGCCCTGGTGCTTTTCACTTGTGCCCTTTTACAGAATGAGCATGTGCTTGCAGTTTGAAATGGAGCATTTGACTCTAATCTCTTTTCTCCTCAAATGACGGCACGGTAACTTTCCTTGAAGGCATCTAATAGTTTAAGCATTGCTTTTGCCACAGAAGGAAATGCAGTTGTTGTTTTTGAACCCAACTTATATCATTGCCATCACAGCAAATTAGAAGGACCAGCAGCCATCTTTATGGGCAATACAGAAAGATATAATTTGAGATTTGGGATCATCCCTTCATTTTTCCACATTTGCCTTTGCAAGTAATATAGGACTCTTTTGGGAGAGCCAGGCCACTTCAAGAGGTTCTCCCATACTGAGGATAACTTTTACAGAATTTGCACATAAATAGAATTGCACTTCACTGTAAACAGGACAAAGAAACAGAAGTGCTACTAATAAGCTAAATGAGAGAACATACACAGCTTTTATGATAAGATCCATATGTATCAACAATTGCTCAGAACAGACCATTAGGCAAACATAAATGAATGGATAATATAAACAAGACAGAATGGTTTCAGGAAAAGCAGGAGAAGGAAATAAAGAAGATTTGTTGCCTCATAAATCAGTTTCATTCATGTGTTCAGAGATGCAGAACACTGAAGGAATTAGGGCCATTGATTACTGGTCATAGAATTATAGAGTTACTGAGATTGGAAAAGACTTGCAAGATCATTAAGTCCAACTATTAACCCATCCCTACCATGCCCACTAAGCCATATCACTCAGTACCACATCTCCATTTCTCAAAATCTGGGAACAGTGACTCCACTCACCCCCTGGGCAGCCTGTTCCAACGCATTACTACTCTTTCTGAGAATTTTTTTTTCTAATACCCATTCTGAATCTTCCCTGGTGCAACGTGAGATCATTCCCTCTCATCCTATCACTGTTACCTGAGAGAAGAGGCCAATCCCCACCACGTCACAACCTCCTTTTTCAGGGAGTTGTAGAGAGAGATAAGGTCTCCTCCGAGCCTCCTCTTCTCCAGAGTGAATAATCCCAATTAGCTCTGTTTACCAATGACAAAGATATGGTCTCTCCTGTGATATATGTTTGCTTAAAACCATCAAATCTGGAAGGAAATGCAGAGAGGGCTTTTTGTGAGCAGCCACCAGAGCATTCTTCAAATCACAGGACCTGATGACACTGAGGAGTAGTAGTAGTAGCTCGTTTATCAAGTTCTTGGCAAGCACAGACAACACTGTTTGGATACAGGTTATATCTATTAAAACAAGGTAGGAGTCTCTTCTGTTTAACCACAAGGTAGATGGGGACAGCTTGAGAAGGTTAACACAGAAAGAAAATTGGATGAGAACAGTCATGGAAAATAGCGTTTACGACTTTTAAAAGAGGAAAAGAAAAATAACAGGCTTCACTAAGCCTCAATTTCAAGATTGCATCAGTTGGAAAAAAATCTAAAGAACTTAAGAGTTAAAAAACACTTTGTGCAAACAGAATAAATTTAGTGCATTGCAGTGAAAGGGCAGTAAATACAGTAAGACATGAGAGTGACCAAGTCAGAGAAGGAAATACATGCAAAGCAGGAGCAAGGTCAGATAATCAAGGACCATCATGAATGAAAATTTCATTATGAGTAAGACAGTGATAAAATTAAAAAAGGTCATGCCACAACAAATACAGGACATTAGGAGTAACAGTGACTGGTTCTCTAACCATTTCATTGTGAGAGGAATGAATAAAGAAAGTGTCAGTCTGCAGAGAGAAAGCTACCAAAGAC